CGCTCCCGGGGGCGGCGGCAGAAGTTGGACCCTGGGGCGAAGTGGGGACCCTCCAACCCTGCGCTGCTCCTACTTTGCAGTGTCCCGCGGGTCCCCGTTCTGGGAACACCCTTCAACCCCCAGTCCCATGACCACAAACATTTCCAGAGGCTCCCCCACACCTTCCCAGTCCACAAGGGAAGAAAGAAAAACGATCACGGGGCCCTTTATTTCTCGTTCCAGAAAGAAGGGCGAGATACAAGTGGTTTCAGGGGAGCTCACAAGCTCAGGAACAGGGACGCCCCAGGATGGAGGCACATCCTTGCACCAGAGACAAACGCAGGGACAGGAGCTGGGTCTGCCCTGGCTCTGTCTTCCCTCACATCACTCTGGATGATTTTACTTTGAGCTAGAGACCCACGACCGCGGGATCTCTGCACAGCGGCAGAGCTGGGGGAGGTCCCTTCCACAACCAGCCCAGCTCTGCCCAAAACTGGTGTTCTGGATGGACGGTCAGTCCTGCAGCGCCCACGGGAGTGGAGCAGGACGCCCATCAGGAGCTGCTGGGCATGGCTGAGCCTGTCCCTAGGGCTCTAACTGCCTGTGCTTTGCTCCGCAGCTCGTCAAAGGCCTCGTTCTGCCTCCGCTTGTCCTTGGCACGGATGATGGTCATCCTGAAGAGCCTGCAGTAGAGCTCCATGGCGGTGGGGCTGTCGTCGTTCCCCGGGATGGGGTAGGTGATCAAGCAGGGGTTGCAGTTTGTGTCCACCACCCCCACCGTGGGGATGTTCATCTTGGCAGCATCACGGATCGCCACGTGGGGCTCAAAGATGTTGTTGAGGCTGCTGAGGAAGACGAGGAGGTCGGGCAGGCGGACGCCAGACCCGAACTGGATGTGGGCGTTGGTGAACAGGCCGCCCTGCCAGTAGCGGGTGTGGGCGTACTCCCCGCACTCCCGCGCTGTGGTCTCGACCAGGTGGCAGAACTGGCGTTTGCGGCTGACGAAGAGGATGATGCCCTTGCGGTAAGCGATGTGGGCAGTGAAATTGAGGGCCAGCTGGAGGTGCTGCATCGTCTGATCCAAGTCAATGATGTCCTGATCCAGGCGACAGCCAAAGATGTAGGGCTCCATAAACCTGCGGGGACAAAGAGAAGGCGACACAAAGGGACAAGGGGGCAGGGTGCTATGGGCATGGAGCAGCGATCCTGAATGGGAGCCTTCCCACACCCCAGCTCCCAGTGGATACCAGAGGTGCTCTCTGCAGGGAGCCCTTGCACGCAGTGTCTGTCCCAGCCGGACTCAGGGGGTGCAGGTGTGACACCCCGCCCAGTGCCCACCCGGAGTCGAGTCCCTGCACTTTGGCAGGGCAGCAGCAATGCCCAGGCAGAAACGTGGGGCTGTGAGGGTGGTCCCAGCCCGGGACCCATCTGTGCAGCCCCCAGAGGCTGAAGTGGACTGGGGAACCATTCCTGATACCAACAAGCGCCGGATCACAAACCGGAGTCACTCACCTATGCCGACACCCCTTTTTGTGACCCAGGTGCACGCGGGCATCAAACAGGTCTTTCAGGGAGAAGAGCTCCTTCACGTTGAAGT